TTGGCATCGACTATTTCTATGGTTGCTTAGGTATATTGTTTCTGAGTACCATTTTTAATAAAATATATCACTTTTTTCCCATATTTAGTATAAAGGGGGTAACGCCTCTTTATCCAGTTATGCTCACACACATAACATCTACATATATATTATAATATTAAATGTAGCGCTTTACTTTTTTCCAACTTTTTTTTATCCACAATAACTTTAATAGAGAGGTTTCGAACAGTAATAAATTGCAGTAACAAAATTTTTATTATTTTTATTATTATTATTATTTTTTTTATTATTTATTAATTATTTAAATTTTTTGCTAACGATAAAACTTTTTCAAGTATTGTCAAATACCCAACATTAGTGGTCTTGAAATTATTTCTTATCTTGAGGTACAAAGTCACTGTTAACAACTAAAATTTCTAAGTTGTGAAAGACTTTAATTTTTTTTTTAGAACCAACGTACACACAAGAAAAGACTTTGGCTTAGAGATTTAACGAAAAATCACTCTTTCCAACACTTTCCACAGCAGTTTCTTTATGCTAAGTATGCAATTAAGAAATAAAGCACTCTAGACAAAAAAAAATCATTAATTAACTATCATACCATCAACTATCTTCTCGATTACCAACTCAACTATCAACTATCTTTCAGCTGCTGTACAGTTATAGCTATAATATTCACAGCGCCACTGGACGCAATTCTGTTGTTGCATTTAGCGCCCATTTGGTTGAAAGAAGGTCAAGACGATAGCTTTGATAGTGACAGAATTAATCACAGTAATAACGACCGTGGCGCAAGAGGTAAATCTGGAAGAAGAACCAACAATAATAAGAAGAGCAAAGCAGAAAACACTTTTCGAAATACCTGTGATTCTTTACATTATATGAACTTTACCACGACTTATGAACTTACACGAAACTTAGCTGCTGCGCTGACTTGGTCATATAGTTCGCATATAATAAGATGCTCTAGCTATAAAAGTGTTTAATTCTGTACCCACTGTTGGAAAACGTGAAAGAAGATGCTTGCATCTTCCACAGAAGCACCAGTTGACCAACTTCCAGTACTATCAACTAGAAATAGTAAGCTACTGAACGGACTGGGTGACGACAGTTATTGAACGCTGCTAACAACAACTTATATTTGTAATGCCCAAGTAACTAAATAACTAAGTAAGTTAGAATCACAGAACCTTCTTATATTAATAAAATCATAGTTAGTAGGGATACAGTCTAGTAATAATAGATTATCCAAATAATACTATTATTGGAATATTTAAAGTAAGATTAAATTTAAACGCCAGAGAATTTAATATATCTGAACGTGATTGTTCTTTGTGTAATCGTCATGAAACAGAAAATATATGTCATATTATTGGAGTGTGTCCGATGTTTTAAGAACATAGACATCCTTTTTTTGATGAAGCAGTTCTGTCCGGAGAAGAAGTTAAAGTCTTGTTAAATGATAGCAATACTAATAATCTTTACAAATTTATGAAAAGTGTTTTAAATTACAGAACATTAATTATTGCAGAATTTATATGAATAATAATGTTAATAATATGCACAAATTTTTGTATGCCAATCTTACATGCAACATATATTCCATATGATTGTCAATTTAGATTTTAAGTAAAATTCTTTAATTTTTGTGAGTGAATAACCATTGTGTAGTTTTTGTTTTCATATGAAGAACAATATAAAATATTTCGAATTTCGGACCCATGACGTTCTTACCAAATTTACTGATATTTTATACGCTTTCTTAAAGTAATTTTGAATATCTTAAACCATTTAACACTTAATTATATAGAATAAACTTCTTTTAAATATACCTAGAACAAATGTTTTCAGAAAAATATTTATTTAAAATCTGTACGTAGTACGTAGACAATATCTCACTTAAATGATTTAGATTTTGCAAACATAAAATGAATTTGCCGTAACCAAAAATTTATATAGAAAATATCTCAACTTGGTGCATATGTGCAACGTGTCACTGCACATTTTGATATACAAAAGAGTCATCAAGAAGTCTAAAGTGCAAACCACATATTTAGCCTAACAAACAGCACTTGACCACAAAGTACCCAAACATATGAGCCGAAACAGCAGAATCCAGTGAGTGCACTGAAGGCATAAAACATTCTAATATAAATACCCGAGTAGGAAAAGTGAAAATATTTAAAATAAAATTCCAAATAAACACCGAAATAAGTTTCCTGCATAAAACATACACAATTCATCCTTTTTTCTTTTTTTTTTTTGACTGGTGTTTTTCACTTGCCACCAACGAAACACCAAAACTGAACACAAGTGGCAACACTGTTTGGAGTGCTAAAGCGGTGAACATAGCTATGCAGTGTTACTGTGTCACAGTGTAACAGTGTAGCAATGAAGCAGTGTTGCCGTGTAGCAGTTTGGCAGTGCGGCAGGACTTTACTTCACTACGGCTCTGTGCATTGTGGTGTTGGTTGTTTGTGTTGGTGCAATTGTGACATACGCCATACATAAATAAAAGGTTCGTTTTGTGGTGCAACTGCAAACAACATGAAACCGTAAACAAAACAAACTGAAATAGAAGCAGAAATGAAATGAAATGAAATAACAAAACACAACAAAACAAAATAGAAAAAAAGTAGTATTTTTTAAGCCGAGCTGAGCACGAAAAATAATTGCCAAACGTTGTGTTGTGTCTCTTCTGTAGCAAAACCACTGTAACGCGCACGGAAACTTACTTGGACAGTTGCTTTGGGGAAACCGGAAATTGTGATGTAGGCACGTTCTTTCCATGACAGATTTCCGCCATATGTGGAAATGTATGCAAAAGCCAAACGGAACTGTAAAACAAAACAGAGTACAATATAAACAATATATAAATGAAAATGTTAAAAAAGTAGTAAAAAAAAAAAAAACCAAGTATTAAATAGAAATAAACTGGCAGAGTGCAAAGTGCACAATGCACAGTTAAAGTGCTGTTGGTGCAAACAGCAAGAAAATTACAACATTTTAATTTATTGTCGTTGCACAAACAAACCACAGAATAAATTTCAAAAATGGTAAAACTTTTTAAATAAACACTAAGTTTAATTACCAAACTTCCGAGCAGCACCACGAGTAAACCGTAACCAACAACTCTGCCATCCAACACGCTGAACTTAATTTCCTTGCCAATCAGTGCAAAGGAGACGGGCTTTAAAAATTTCCAAAGTAAATCAAGACGCTTCACAACGTTGCACTACACACGAAAAAAAAAAACAGGAAGACAAAATAGAATTTAGTTAAAATTTAGCAAATAAAGTTTAAATTAAGTAATACTAAAATATTTTCTAAAGTATATTCTAGTTAAAAAATTTTCCAATATGAGTTAAAATTTTACTTCGCATAGATCATTTTGTAATTATGACTAAATGATGCTTAAAAAAATCGTTTTCTCCGAGCTTAACTAAAAGATAGCACTAACGAAGAGTAAGTAGTGGAATAATTTGACACATACGTCATATTGTACGTCAAAACTCTACAAAAACACATAAGTTGAGTCCGCCAAAAACTAGCTTATATTGAGCTAGCTCATATATAACTATAGCTCACATCATGTTCAGTGATCATATCGAGTTGTTTTTGCCCGACAAAGAATATTTTCGGCAAGTACTGCTTTTCTGTCTCAACCAAAAGTAAAACAGCAGTTGAAGTAGAAACATATGGTGAATACGATCCATCGATTAAAAAGAGTTAATTTTTATATGAAAGATAGTTAGCGTGCCTACTATAGGCATAAAAAGTGTAAAGATGATTGCAGGTACTATGATATTGCAGGTACTATGATGATCCAACTGAAATTCAACAGCAATTGGCAAAAGCATTAAATGTGTCTTAACAAGCAAACAGAAGACATCTACGTACAGCAGACCAGATCAATATGCTGGGAAAATATATCCCATATGGTTTGAGTAGACTTCTAATGGAAAATCGCAATGTCACCTGTGAAATGCTCATTCAATGTCAAGAAAAAAACAATTATTTTCGTGTCGATGTTTGTGACAGTTGAAGAACAACAGATTTATTTTAAAACCTCGAAGTGCATAAAATCGTGGCTTTCATCTAGTAAAGCCGGTTTCTGAACACCAAGACTGAATCGTTTCGACAAAAACACAATGTTTTGTGTCTGGTAGAATAAGGGTCGTGTTGCGTGTTATAAACCGTTAATGCACAATACTATCGCCAATAAATTTAAATTTCCATTTAATTTAAATCACGCATTAAATGAAATACTACCGGAATTAGCCAGAAGACAATGTTTAGTGATTTTGTTGCACGATTTTGGTCCGTCCCACACTGTAAAATCAGTGAAAGACATCTTAAAATCCCTTAGATGAAATATCCCACTGCTTCCCTTGTACTTTCCAGACTACACCCCTGATTATTTATCACCGCTTCCATCAATGGGACACATGATCGCAGAGCAGCATCTCAGCAATTTTGAAAAAGTTAGAAAATAGTTCGACAAATAGTTTGCCGTAAAAGACAAACAGTTTTTCTGATATCTTCTTCTTCATTCCATTGCGTTTTCAGAGGAACATTGCGTTTTTCTGGCATAATATTCATATATAACCTGAACGTTGGATTAAATGTGTAATACCGATGGCCAATATTTTGAATAAAAAAACTAATTTCTCTTGAAAATGTTGTGTTTTCTACACCAAACAAAAACCGGAAAAAAATTATATATACCAAGTAATATATATATACCAAGTAATGCTTAATTATACTTAAATAATTATAATTAAAAGAATGGCAGCGTATTGTAGAGGAGGCAATGGTCCATCCTAGACTCTGATGCCAAAATGATGATGATGATAATTACAATTAAACATACTCTTCCAGACTTAATACACATTTAAATACTTTATTTTTCAAATAAATTTTTTGCTACATAAATATTATAATCATTTATATTATATTTTATGATTATATATGAAAGTGTAATTGCATAGAAAAATATCTATAATTGATTTTTCAAAATAAGTTCGAACTTTTTGTATCTAAAACTGAAATTTCAACTACAAATCACACAAAAAGCAAATGATTTGCTTCAATATTTCTCATAAGCCGAACGACTTGTTTACATTTCTGTTTTTTGTCATCAACAATAAAAACATAAACAAAAACATTTTCCAAAAGTAGTTTAAGTGCTAAATCCAAAGTCACTTAACTGTTGACACTTTAAGCGAGAGTTTACTGCACCATAATACAATCGACTTAACATAGAAGAGCTTGTAAAAGTCCTCTTTGCATATGCAAGGAAATGAAAATATAAACAAAAACTTGACTTTCTGATTTTGTTGCTTACTTATAGCTCAATTGTTGCAGCAACACTTCTGTTTTCATTTCCAGCACTTCGACCCTCTGCCCCCAACCCTTACCCACATCTCTCAAACGTTCTCAACCAAACGTTCTTGTTCTTTTCAGTGTAACTGCAACTGAATTTTAGTGTGGTTGTGTATTCTTAAACGTTTTCTAAGTGTGGCTAATGAAAAGTAGACTGACAAACAAAGGAGCTGAAGTAACACGTACACACAATCACACACACACACAACACAACCACACACACACACACAAATGAAAGCATAAAAAATTTCTTCAAAAGAAACACTAAAAAATTACGTATACGTCTAGTAGCACTTCATGTGCTTTATACGAGCGACGAGTGACTACTCAGCCACACTCCGGGCAATTGTTTTATGATTTCTTTAGTTTTTTTTGTTTTTGTTTTTGTTTTTGTTTTTGTTTTTGTTTTTTGCAGGCTTTAATTTGTTTGTTTAGTTGAGTTTCGTTGTAGTTTACATTTGCTTTTAAATTTATTCAATTTTTTTTTTTTAATTGAACAATTCCTTATGGTTTTACTTAAGCAATTACAGGATAAACTAAAATGCATAAGCTGCACTTTATATTCTGTTCTGCACTGCTTTTAAGTTTCGGATGGACTCTTGTAAACGTGTACCGAATAACAGAGAACTGGTGTTAAGTGTTCAATGAAATAATAATCAAAGGAACAGTCATATTTGGAAGTTTCCTTTATTTAGTAGAAGAACCATACTTACAATTGAACAAAATGATATTAGCAACTCGTTACGGGTCAAGATTAATTACGGAAATAAAGGTATTTAAACAGAGAAGCTATTCTTACAGAATGAATACTATAGCAATTAAATCAAGTAAAGATCGAATTAAGGAGTCAATTACTAGATCAATTAAGAATATAACTATAGAAAATCATAATATCAGCGAAACTGCATATAGAAATACTAGAAGAAACTTAAAAATGAGGTTTCATTCAACCTGCTGAATACGAACATTAAATACCTTAACCAGCAAATTCAGTAAAACATACCCAGCAAATCCATAAATAAGTATATTTTTGATACCTTCCTAAGAAAATGAAGTCAGTGACTGTAGTAGAAACAAGTTATTATGCCGGGTTTTATTTTTTTCATTACCCTTGGTATATGCAATCACCATCTGATGAGGGTTTCCCTGATCAGTGTTTCCTTGAATGTTCGGACTAAAAATGTTCAAAATTTCTTATAACATCAATAGCAGGATGTTAACTAGTTTTAAATGATTCTAAATACAAGCCTGTGTATTTTCGCCAACTATAACATAAACAAATTACTTTTCCTACTCAAAGAAATCCAGTTGGTATATACATCTGAACAAAAAACCAAACTGCTACTGCTCAAATGAAATAGCTTCTCGCTGTTTGATAAAGCCTCACATAGCACCAAATCCTTGGTTTAGTACACAAATGCCAGAAGTCACAACAGAATCAAACTGTTATCCAGGCTCTAGGATCCGTTATACCTAGCTAAATTGAATTATACAGCGTAATTCATTTAACATGAGAAGATACTATTTTCACAAATTGTTTATATATTCAACACAAAATCGAAACCTACCCTATAATTCCTACCTATATACCTAACTTATGATTCACCTTAGGTATTAAAGGATTTCTTACACAATATTATAAGATAAGAAATAGGCAGGGTATCGGCTCCGAACGAATAGAAGCACGGCGACAATAGTTGATCTTTAGTGCTGCTACAGATCGTAACCGAACAGAAACTCCTTCGAATGAAAGCCAAAATGTCAGTAGTTGAGAACATCCAATATCAGTGGTTAGGACCACCAATATCAGAAGTTCTTTAGCCAATAGATGATTTAGCTAATTGTAAATGAATAAAAGTAAAGTGAAAAAGAATTTTATACACTTTTGAATAAAACTTTAATTTAGTGAAAATCATTTTTAAAGAAATATAGTATTCTTAAATCCCCTTTTTCGCTGACCTAAGAGAACTACAAAACACTTCAAAATTAGAGATATAGCCAAGTTTATGGACTTTTCAAGTTAATTTGGTTTTCCTTAAATAGCGAAGTAATGACTATATTTGTCGACGTTATCCGTTCGTCTTTATATTACTTTTACTACTTTCGTCTTTATACTTATTTACCTCCGGGTTTTGCGATTAGACAATGTTTTATGCACACTAGCATCATTATTTTCACTGCAGTGGGCTTTTAATTTGCAAGCACAACACTCCAACCTAACCTAATCAATTCGCAAACTACTTTAAATCACAGTACATTTTACTTATACGAACTAAATTCTTCAGTTATTGTAAAATAATTGATATTGACAATAATTTTACAATTGCTTAAACAAGACTTTTTGCAACAAACATATTTATACACAATAATTCCTACTAAGACCTAAACTCTTACTACAGCTTCTGTCTAAAAACATCCACCTCACTTGTCTCAATAGACGTGTACATTACACAAATTAAAGGTAACATAAAAATTTAATGGTAAACGTATCTGAGCAGATGTCAAGCCATTTGGTTAATAAAAATTGTTACTTCCTGAAAGTAATGTATAGCAGCAATACTCTTAAGGATAGCACCATCAGAGTTAAAAAAATAGTGTGCAGATAAAAAACAAAATTCGACACAAAAAAGTTACTGTCCATGGGAGAGCGTTCCGTGTTATGTGGGCGAAAACTAACTGGAGACAAAAGCACGCAAAGCCTGTCAAACTCTAAACATCAACTGTCAAACTACAATAACTACAAAAACTCGGTACAAAAAGCCTTTGTTTCAGGGAAGTACAGAAAAAACTCATACAAATCAAAACAAAATAGAAGGAAGTGTACAAATTTCATACATTTTTCGGTTGTGCCGTTTCGGCACAGAAGTCAATACATCAACGACTATAAAGCCAATACAAATACGAGTACTCGCAGTTGTTCACTTACAATAGCGGAAAGTAAAACAAAATAGCTTAAAATACTTAATAAAAAAAATATTGGAAAAAATATTAACAGATTTTAAAAAAAAAAATTGCTCTTATTTTGTGCTATTATTTTTTTTGCAGTGCACTCGCAAATACGTTGATACACTGAGCAAAAAAGTAAATCAGTAAAACAAACAGAACTTACATTTTCGTTTTCCTGTAGTTGCTCGGGCGTCATTTTCCGTTGGTCTTGTTTCCAGCCAATATTCGCAATAAAGGCGACTGTCACACATCCCAGAGCGCCGGCCGATGGATAGCCAATGGCTTTACTGCCCATCACAGAGATGCAGCCACCTAAGACAGTTAAAACAAATCGCAGTCCATACACGTAGCGCTGTAAGTGAGAAAAAAATAAAATTTTGACTTGCATAAATGTTTGTGTGGAAAACCATTTTTCAAATTTTCTTTTTTTATTACTCGTATTATTTTTTGTAATATTTTTTTGTCTTTCAGAAATAGTTTCCGAAATTGTAGTTATAGTGCAAAAAATCTTTACAAGAAGCGTTGACTTTGCCAACTCCAACAAAATTTGTTTTCTAATCCTATTTTACTTGAGCTTTGAATTGAATTGATGGGCGTCGGTCTATTTGCGTGGGATGTAGGTGTGGGCAATATGTAAGCCTAGTCGAAATTTCATCAACCTTTTTTATGTTTTTGCTGAAGTTTTTTTTCTCAAAAACTATTTATATTTGTTGCTTGGGTGTGGAGTTTCGAAAATATTGTCACTACCAATTGCTTGTGGTAGGCTTCATTGCTAGTTTGGAGCAGTTCCACTGGTCCACAACTATAATTTAAGAT